AGGAATATATGGGGAGACAAAAACAACAAAACACCCAGTCTTCTGCCAGGGAACTCACCACTGGGCTGGATTGTTATTCGAATCCCAAGGTCAATAGAGTTGGCCTTCATTACTCCAACTTTCAGATTCTTAAGTTTATTTCATGTATTTTTTCCATGGATTTTAAGTCTAATAAATGGAGAGTAATAGGGCAAAATGTGTTTACTCCATCATGTCCAGAAGTATCGTTTCTTATCTTTGCTCTTTTGCACATACAGGATATTTCTCCCCCTCCCTGCTTCTAAGATTTTCTCTTTGGCATGGATTTTAATCAATTTCGTTATGATTCCCTTGGAGTAATACCCCCTGTCCCCCATGTTTCTTGTGATTGGGATAGGTTGAACTTCATGGACCTGTGGGTTTATAATTTTCATGAAATTTGGAAAGTTTTCAGCCATTATTTTAATTAATTAATTGATTGATTGATTTTTGGCTGCATTGGGTCTTTGTTGCTGTGCGTGGGCTTTCTCTAGTTGTGGTGACTGGGGGCTGCTCTTCATTGTGGTGCACGGACTTCTCATTGCAGTGGCTTCTCGTTTCAGAGCATGGGCTCTAGGGTGCATGAGCTTCAGTAGTTATGGCATGCAGGCTCAGTAGTTGTGGCTCACAAGTTCCAAAGCACAGGCTCAGTAGTTCTGGTGCATGGGCTTAGTTGCTCCACAGCATGTGGGATCTTCCCAGACCAGGGCTTGAACCCGTCTCTCCTGCATTGGCAGGTGGATTCTTAACCACTGCACCACCAGGGAAGTCCCTCAGCCATTATTTCTTCAATTATTTTTTCGTCCCCTGCCCATTCTTTTTCCTCTCTTCTAGGGATCTCAATTACACATAATTAGGCTAGCTGAAGTTGTCGTACAGCTCTCTGATACTCGCATTTTCTCAGTCTGTTTTTCTGTTTCAATTTATATAGTTTTTATTGCTATGCCTTCCAGTTTATTAATGCTTGCTTTTGCAATGTTTAATCTATTAATCCTAGCAACTGTATTTTTATGTCTCAGACATTGTTGTTTTTACCTCTAGATTTGTTTGGGTCTTTTAAATATTTTCCACATTGGTACTTAACATGATCAATCTCTCTTCCTTGTTGGATATATAGAATATAGTTATGACTTTTGTATTGTCAGTATCTATTATTAAATACAAAATCTATTTTTGTCATTTCTAGTTCTGGTTGTGGTTCTATTGATTTTTTGCATTATAGTCATGTATGCCTGCTTATTTACACTTCTGGTAAAATTTATTTACTACAGACATTATGAAAGTTACCTTCAATGTGCTTGGTATTTTTGCATTTCTATAAATATACTCAAACTTTGTTCTGTAATATACTTATGTTACCTGGAAACAATTTGTTCAAGATTTGCTTTAAGCTCTGCTAGGTGGGACTAGGAAAGCCTTAATCTAGTGCTAACTCGCCTATCTACTGAGGCAATAGCTTTTTGAGTAATCTAACCAGTGCCCTATAAATTATGAGGTTTACCACTCTTGCTGATGGGGACACAAACTATTCCTGGCTCTGTGTGAGCTCCAAGGATTACCTGTGCTCTTAAGCATTTCTTTTGCTGGCCTCAGGTGGTTTCCTTGATCCCATGCACTGATGAGAACTTGGCTCAATACTCTGCCCTGCAGACTCTAGCCATCACTGCCTCCCTGGACTCTCAGCTCCATCTTGTCTACTTAGGGAGATTACAAAGTGCCCCTTGTATTCCCCCTCACAGTGCTGAGGTGTGGAAATGCTCTCTAGGCAGTAGGCTGGGTCAAATGTGTGGATCACATTTGTTTATACTTTCTTAGGCATTACCATTGTGTTGCCTGGTGTCCAATGTCTGAAAACCTTTATTTCTCATATTTTATCTAGTGTTTTGTTATTTTAGGCAGGAAGGTAAATCCTGCCTCTATTATTCCCATTTTGACTGGAAACAGAGTATTAAAAAAATAAATTCTGTTCTTAAGAATTGAAAGAAGAAAAAAAAAAAAAAGAATTGCAAGAGGACTACAGAGTTTCCATATGCCCTTCTCCCAGTTTGCCTAATACTAACATTTTACACTACTGTAGTATAATGATCAAAACCAGGACATTAACATTGGGAACAATACTATCATCAAATGACAGGTTTGATTGAATTTCATCAAGTTTTCTCTGCTAATGTTCCAAAAATTGAATCCACAATCCAGCATTGTATTTAGTTCCCTTGCCTTTTATGACCTAGAAAAGTTATGAACTTTTGGAGTATTGGGCAAGTTATTTTACAAAAGGCTATTCATTTTGGGTCTACCTGCAGTTCCTTCATTATTAGAACATAGTTACGCATGTTTTGGTGAGAATACTACCCAAGTGTTTGCCCTTCTTAGTGCATCACCTTGATGCCAGTGTCTCATTGCTGGTGATTATTCGGTTAAAGGTGTGTGTGCAATGTTTTATCTTTGTAATTAAATACTTGGGAGAGATACTTTGAAACAATTCTAATATCCCATTTTTTCCTTATACTTTCACCTTCAACTCTTACCATCCATCAATGGATTTTGTATATAATTACCACTATTATTATGGTGATTTCCTATTTCCCTCATTCCCTTTACATTTATTAACTAGAATTCTTCACCATTAAATTGAACCAGAATCCTTTCCTTGCAGTAGCTAATTTTATGGTTCAGGACAGCAATAAACAGGATAGGTCTGGAACATCCCCTTGTATTTGGGGAAAGAACCCAAAGCTTCCAAGTAGGCTAGGGAAAATGTGGAAAGGATAAAGGAACAAATGAAAATGGAAAGGAATAAATTTTATCAATTTGAGCACCAAGAAAAAGTACCAAATGTTACATTTTGGTTTATCAGATTAGCAGTCTGTGAAATGACAGGAGTTCATAACAAAATTCAAAGGAAAATGTTAATGTAATGTGACCAAAATATTAATGTAATGTGAACAAAATGTAGCTGTAATTACAAATAAGGGAGACAATAAGGATGTGTTGTATTTTTTTTTCATTTATTCATTAATGATTCAAAAAATAAGTGTCAAGCCACATGGTTATTTTATTTCTGTCATTAATTTTAAGTCCGTATATAAGGTTTGGATAGCTCATTGTTTTAGTTTGTTCGAGCAAGCAAAAAATATTAAAAACACACAAAGAAGAGTAGGGCAAGTAGCTCTGGAGTACTGTGCAAGAAGAGGGAAATTAATCAGCATTGATGGTAACTCAGAATAACCAGGTAGAGTAGGATATAAGAGCAAATCAGCAGTGTGGTCACATGACAGCTCAGTAAATAGAGTGAGCTATTAATAACAACATTAATAATTATAATACAATTGAACTATTTCAAAGATATGAAATAGCAAGTATCCTAATAAGGGTAACAACAGAGACCCATTCTTTTACTCTGTAGGACATGAATGATCTGTTACATACTTTTAATAACTGCTAACTTAAGTAAATTACTAATAAGGAATATGTAAAGAAAACATAGCTCAGTATACCCAATGAGAAAACCTTACTTACTATTGCTGATCATGCAAAACTGGGCAAGATACCAATCTCAAAAGTTAAAATCTAATGAATGACAGTGATGTAAATGTATGTAAATATAACAGGTAAATTTTCTTATAAAAATCAATAATCAGTGGCTTTTGATCACTTTGATTATATAACCACGTCAACTGTCATAAGAAAGAGGTGATGAGTAGCTAAGATTTGCAACCTTATTAACTGTCTCATTTTTTTGTTGTTGTCTTTTCGTTTTTCCTGAGTCAGGGGAGATTGCTAAAATCAAAGGTCTACTGATTTTCCAACTGCCAAAACACAGTAAGACAACCCTGAACAGAATAAAAAGGAAAATTATAAATAGATACAAAACCCAATTGAAGCCATGGTAAATAGCAGCGTTGTAAACCCTCTTGATTTTAGTGACCAGTTTATAATCATTGCAATAGCTGTAGGTTTTCTACTTTTAAAGCTGCCTAACAAATTTAAGAGATGTAAGATTGGGTTAGAATATTTTATGAAATATTTTAAATGCTCATTTCATTTGGATGCCTACTGGTACTGCCTAGAGGTGAAAAGACTCCTTAAAGGAATTGTGTTGCAAAAGGTATTTAGGGAAATCTGTTGTGTCAAAACAAAATAGAAATTCAGAAAGAATTCAAACATTTGATGACAATGGAAAAGTTAAAACATCTACCATTAAAACAAAATCAAGAGAAAACAAAACAAACCTACACAAACACCTTGCAGGACCACAAAACTTTAAAACCACATAGTGTCTGGGGGTTCTAACTCCCTGGAGAAGATAAGTATGCCATATAAAACAGGCAAAAAATTAGAATGCAAAAGATATATTTGAGCAATATTACAAATCACTAAGCCAAAAACAATAAATAGCCAAAAACACAAACACCAAAAGTAACTGTAAGCAAAACATCCCTGGACAAGAAACTCATATGAGGGCTTCCCTGGTGGCACAGTGGTTGACAGTCCGCCTGCTGATGCAAGGGACATGGGTTTGTGCCCCGGTCCGGGAGGATCCCACATGCCATGGAGCGGCTGGGCCCGTGAGCCATGGCCACTGAGCCTGCGCATCTGGAGCCTGTGCTTCACAACAGGAGAGGCCACAACAGTGAGAGGCCCGCGTACCGCAAAAAAAAAAAACTCATATGAAAATAACTCAAATAATTATTAGGGAAATACATTTCCCATTTAAGAAACGGATTGATAGGCATCATCCTACATAAATGGATATTCAGAATGTTAATTGATATAAAAAGGAGAAATATTTGGTGATATTGAACAAAGCTGAAAGTATATCTCACTTATGAATGAATAATTCTAGTTCTAGAGTGGCCATAAAGTCTGGAAATAGATTTAATTGAGGTAGAATCTCTGCGATAACTTCTACTTAAATACACATATTTTTCCAATGAAACTCAGAAACAAATGGGCTTTATATATGTCTTTCATTCAAAAATCTTCTCACCAGTACAACTTGTTCAATGTCAAGTAAGTTGCCTGCCCACTCTAAAGGCATTCCCACATTCCTTACATTCATAGGGTTTCTTACTATTATGAATTCTCTGATGTTTTGTAAAGGATGAACTATGTCTAAAGGCCTTCCCACATGCCTTGCATTCGTAAGGTTTCTCTCCAGTATGAATTCTCTGATGTTCAGTAAGGGCTGAACTGTGTCTAAAGGCCTTCCTACATACCTTACATTCATAAGGTTTCTCACCACTATGAATTCTCTGATGTTGAATAAGGGCTGAAGTAAGTCTAAAGAACTTTCCACACACTTTACATTCATAAGGTTTCTGACCACTGTGAATTCTCTGATGTCGAGTAAGTTCACTACCTACTCCAAAAGCTTTCCCACATTCCTTACATTTATATGGTTTCTCACCAGTATGAATTCTCTGATGTCTAGTCAGGGATGAACTGTTTCTAAAGACCTTTCCACATGCTTTGCATTCATAGGGTTTCTTACCACTATGAATTCTCTGATGTCGAGCAAGTTCTCGACAGACTCCAAAAGTCTTCCCACATTCTTTACATGCATAAGGTTTCTCACCAGTATGAATTCTCTGATGTTCAATAAGCTGTGAACGAATTCTAAAGACCTTCTCACATTGTATACATTTGTATGGCTTCTCACCAGTATGAATTCTCTGATGTTCAGTTAGTTGTGAATGAAATCTAAAGTCCTTGCCACATTCCATACATTTGTAAGGTTTCTCATCAGTATGGATTTTCTGATGTCTAGTAAGTTGTGCATGCACTCTAAACGATTTCCTACAGGAAGTGCATTCATAGGGTTTCTCACCATCATGAATTCTTTGAAGTGCAGTGATTTTTTCAATTCTCCTAAAAGTCCTTCCATATTGCTTACATTTATAGCAGTTCTGATCATCACAGTGTACACTATGGTCTTCACAAAAACTAAATGCATTCCCACATTCCATACATTTACAAGGTTTCACACCAGTATGAATATTCAGTTGTAGGGTATGTGGGTCATCTACTCCAAAGGTTTTCCAATATCTACTATGTTCAGAGGTTTTCTCAGTATATATTTTCTCATATTCATCAAAGTTTAAGTCACAACTAAGGACCTTCCCATATTCCTTACAGGGCTTCTCACTATCATGAATTCTCTGATGTAATGTAAGAGATTTATGATTTTTGTAATTGGGTACTTTTTCAGAGATGATTTTCATTTGACTGAAATATCCCACTTCAGGTCTTTGCACTTCAGTCTTCCTTTTGCTTTGCCAATCATTTCTGACAATGGAGTTCTCAAGGCCAACTAATTTACTACTTTCTATTACTTCCCACTGAGAATCATTTTTTTCAATAATGTCCTTCTCTGTAGATAAAGTCTTTTTGTCACACTTGGATTCCAAGTCTGAAAGAAAGGGAAAAAACAATTTCTTTTTTCATGTGTAACAAAGATAAAATAGTTATAAAATGCACAGGAAAAAAACTGAAAATAATTCACAGTATAAGTGAATGATTAAACTACTGTTATGAAGTTTGAGGAAAGGTAAAGAGAACTCAGAGAATGTTAAGAGTATAACATAAGGTTGTGAGGTTTGTGCTAAGAGAAATGGATTAAGTCAGTGGGTCTGAAATTTTGGTGTTGATCATCACCTAGTAAGCTTGTCAAGTACTGATGTTCATGAACTAATCCAGATAAACTGAATCAACACCTATAGATGTGGAATTTAGTCATCAGTATCTTGTAGAGATACTGCAAATACAGATCACAATTTGATTACTGATACATACTAACAATTTTCTGATACTTTTCTTCTTTTACAATATAATCCCAATACTTTATCATCGATAACAGGGTGCTGCTTGTAAAACAACATTTTAATCCATTATCCCCTTTCACCTAATCATTTTCACCTTCTGCATCAAACCACATTTCCTATCATTTAGAGATACCCACAAGATATTTCATTTCTCAGAAATGGAATCCTTATATACTACTTCCTTTTCATTGTCTGGGTCTAAAAGTTACTATCCTCTGAAATTATGTACTAGCTGACTCTAAGTAAGTTCATATCTATGTCTCTATTCCAATATCTAGTTCCTTGCCCTCATACCCATTTTTCCAATTGTGTAATCTGTAATTTTCTCTGTTATCATACTGTTTATTTCCTTATTAAACTCCAAAAGGACAAATAAAGTCATTCTATGTGCCACTGAATAGCAAGCCCCAAGGTCATAGTAATTTATAATTACAGGAAAAGCAAATCACTGGTTGAAAGCAATGTGAGAATAAAAGCCAATATTACAAAAAGAAGTCACTTTTTGGTAACACAATTACCAGAATAATTATATAACTATAAGAATCTCCATGCCTTTAAAACCTCACACTACACTACAGTGATTTTATATATATAAATTTATATACATGAAAATTATAATATAGTAAGATACATTCATATATATAATAGTGTTTATAAATGATTGTTTTCCAATTGCCTCTCCACCTATGCATACTGTCTCGATCACTGCTGTTAATTTCCTCCTATGCAAAACCATGAGTTTCTTCATCCCAATAAAGATGGTGTTTTATTTACCTCTCTTCAGTAACATTTTCACTATTATTCATCTATCCTCCTGAAATCCTAGTCTATATTTAAATGTTTTCCTTCATGCTCTTTCCCAGGTATTCCTTTCCATTTTCTTATTCTCAAAGCTATACTGCCTAAAATAGTATCAGAATGTTTTAGATATTATAATAGGTATTTCCCATATTGTAAAGCTTATGCAATTCTGAGTAAACCTGCGGCTGAAAAGGAGAATTTGGTAACAGAATGATATGTAAAATGTGGTGGAGGTGGGCAAGAGTGTAAGGCACTTTGTAACAAAAGATCTCTTGGACCTAGCTGGAGATTGGCAATCAGATGAGGGAACAACCTAAGGAAAATCCAAAGTGACTGATATACATTGCATGATAAAAGGCAAAAATAATTTCTTGTGACTGAATTATGTATAATTAAGGTGAAATAATGCAAACACCATTATTTGACTGAAACAATAAAATCATAAATGAATGCCAATATCAGTAAATTAAAAGTACTTCCACTTAGAAATGAAGACACTTTCTATCAAATAACTGTTTAGTTATCGTGGAAATGTAACTGAAATTACAAAACTTTCAGGGAATGGTGGCGTTGAAAATATTGCACATTAAAAATCTATGAAACTCAATATTAGTCACATAGAAAGTAAGAATTTAGACATTTATATTGATAAAACTGAAAGAATGAAAACCAATGTATACATTCCATTCAAGAAGACAGAAAAGAACAAAGTGACCTAAAGAAAAGGTGAGAGGAGAATTCAATAAATATAGAATCAGAATGTGATGAGTTAGAGAACATATAAAGAATATAATCAACAAATATAAAAAGTGAAAGAAATCAAAGATGACATAAACAGATGGAGAAATATACCATGTCCTTGGATTGGAAGAATCAATACTGTGAAAATGACTATACTACCCAAAGCAATCTACAGATTTAATGCAATCCCCATCAAACTCCTAGTGGTATTCCTCACAGAATTAGAACAAAAAATTCTACAATTCGTATGGAAACACAAAAGACCCAAATAGCCAAAGCAATCTTGAGAAAGAAAAACGGAGATGGAGGAATCAGGCTCCCTGACTTCAAACTATACCACAAAGCTTCAGTAATCAAGACAGTATGGTACTGGCACAAAAACAGAAAAGTAGATCAATGGAACAGGATAGAATGCCCAGAGATAAACCCACGCACATATTGTCATCTAATTTATGAGAAGGGAGGCAAGAACATACAATGGAGAAAGGAGAGCCTCTTCAATAAGTGGTGCTGGGAAAACTGGACAGCTACATGTAAAAGAATGAAATTAGAACACTCCCTAACACCATACACAAAAATAAACTCCAAATGGATTAAAGACCTAAATGTAAGACCAGACACTATAAAACTCTTAGAGGAAAACATAGGAAAAACACTGACACAAACCACAGGAAGATCTTTTTTGACCCACCTCCTAGAGTAAAGGAAATAAAAATAAAAATAAACAAATGGAACTTAAAGAAAAAATCCAATTAAAAATTGATGAAAAAAAAAAAAAAAGGGTGGAAGGGGCTTCCCTGGTGGCACAGTGGTTGGGAGTCTGCCTGCCGATGCAGGAGACACGGGTTTGTGCCCCGGTCTGGGAGGATCCCACATGCTGTGGAGCAGCTAGGCCCGTGAGCCATGGCCACTGAGCCTGCGTGTCTGGAGCATTTGCTCCACAGCAGGAGAGGCCACAATGGTGAGAGGCCCGTGTAACACAAAAAAAAAAAAATGGATGGAAGACCTAAATAGACATTTCACCAAGAAAGACATACAGATGGCCAAGAAGCACATGAAAAGATGCTCAACATCACTAATTATTAGAGGAATGCGAATCAAAACTACAATGAGGTATCACCTCATGCCAGTCAGAATGGCTATTATCAAACAATCTAGAAACAATAAATGCTGGAAAGGGTTTGGTGAAAAGAGAACCCTGCTGCACTGTTGGTGGGAATGTAAATTGAAACAACCACTATGGAAAACAGTATGGAGGTTCCTTAAAAAACTAAAAATAGAACTACCATATGACCCAGCAATCCCACTACTAGGCATATACCCTGAGAAAAGTATAATTCAAAAAGAGACATGTACTACAATGTTCACTGCAGCACTATTTACAATAGCCAGGACATGGAACCAACCTAAATGTCCATTGACAAACAAATGGATAAAGAAGATGTGGCACACATATACAATGGAATATTACTCAACCATAAAAAGAAACGAAATTGAGTTATTTGTAGTGAGGTTGATGGACCTAGAGTCTGTTATACAGAGTGAAGTAAGTCAGAAAGAGAAAAACAAATACCATATTCTAACACATATACATGGAATCTAAAAAAAAAAAAAAGGTATTGATGAACCTAGTTGCAGGGCAGGAATAAAGATGCAGACATATAGAATGGACTTGAGGACATGGGGTGGGAGGGGTAAGCTGGGGCGAAGTGAGAGAGTAGCATCGACATATATACACGACCGAATGTAAAGTAGTTAGCTAGTGGGAAGCAGCAGCATAGCACAGAGAGATCAGCTCTGTGCTTTGCAATGACCTAGAGGGGTGGGATAGGAGGATGGGAAGGAGGCTCATGAGGGAGGGGATATAGGGACATATGTATGCATACGGCTGATTCACTTTGGTGTACAACAGAAACTAACACAGTATTGTGAAGCAATTATACTCCAATAAAGATCTATTAAAAAAAAAAGTAAATGACAAATGAAAGAACCATCACAGAGGGTATTTTTTAAATGTTATAAGGCTCATATGCCAACCAATTTGAAAATGTTGACTTATGAATTATTTTCTAGGTAAATAAATACTGAAAACCCTAGAAGCCATAAAAGTTGAAAAATGAACAATTTGCTAGAAAGAGATAAAACTGTCAAAGACTTACCTCCCATGAAACAAAAAATCATAAGAATGCCTATTGCCCAGGTTGTGGCAATAAACCAGGTAATGAACCATGGCTCCTAAAATAAAGATCTGAGTCACGAACCTGGAGCAGGTAAGGTAGAAAATGTGCCCTTGACTGTTGTGACAGAAGCAAGAATGTTTTATAATATTAATGAACTATAACAAAAAGACACAAATCATCAAAGGAGACCACCATTTTGACAATACAATAATCAAAAGAGGGTAAAAAGTACTTTGTGTACCTAAACATGTTAACTAAACAACTAAAAATTTATAGCTAGAATTAATTTTTTAAAAAGGAACAAAAGGGCTTCCCTGGTGGAGCAGTGGTTGAGAGTCTGCCTGCCAATGCAGGGGACACGGGTTCGGGCCCTGGTCTGGGAGGATCCCACGTGCCGCGGAGCGGCTGGGCCCGTGAGCCACAACTACTGAGCCTGCGTGTCTGGAGCTTGTGCTCCGCAACGAGAGAGGTCTCGACAGTGAGAGGCCCGCGCACCGCGATGAGGGGTGGCCCCCGCTCGCCGCAACTAGAGAAAGCCCACACACAGAAGCGAAGACCCAACACAGCCAAAAGTAAATAAATAAATAAATTTAAAAAAAAAAAAAAAAAAAAAAAAGGAACAAAACACATAAAACATGGAAGACCAGAACTCACTTTTAACCAATTCAGGTGTTTGGTCTGGGATAGGGAAGGTATAGGGTGAGCCTGGGAAAGCTTCAGAAAGCAATAGTAAATTCAAAGAATAAAGAATCAAGTCAAAGGTACACAAAAATCCATAAGGAATTAGTATTTATACAGCTAGGCATCAACAAAGACTGTGATGGGCTAAAGTAGACTAAACCAATGAAAATCAACAAATCCATAAT